TCTGTGAAGGATCAGGAAATATCATCAACATGTTCTTACAAACACACCAGCTGCAAACACATTTATATCAACTATGTTTGTTTGAGTTCAATTTAATTCAAATTAGGCCTAATTATTCAAGACCTTGCATGTGAGCTGTCAGGATATCAAGATGTTGAATTCAAAGCTAGATTTAACAGGGATCCAGTGTAGAAAAGTCAGTCTGCTCTCTCTTTCTAGTCTCTGTCAGGACTCTTGCTGCAGCATTTTGGATTTGAAGGCTTTTCAATGAATTTTAGGACATCCTGATAATAATGAATTACAGTAATTCAGCCTAGAAGTAATAAAAGTATGAACTAGTTTTTCAGCGTCATTATGAGAGAGGACATGTCTAATTTTAGAGATATTGTGCAAATGGAAGAAAGCAGTCTTACATATTTGTTTAATATGTGCAATGAAGGACATGTCCTGGTCAAAAATGACTCCAAGGTTCCTCACAGTGTTACTGGAGGCCAAGGGAATGCCATCCAGAGTAGAAACCATATTTCTAAGATTCTTAGTGCCAAGTAAAGCGCATTTTATCTGAATTTAGAAGTAGGAAGTTAGAGGGCACCCAGGTCATTACTTACTTAAGACATCCCGGCAGTTTAACTAAGTGTCAACTGCATAACAGTGAAAATGCATGCCCTAAACCTGTTTCTGTACTGCGATGAGGGTACAGTACTCTTGAAATAAGCCATTCCTCTGCATATGATTAGTTAGCTGTTTTACAACTTCAGTTCTAATCTGTCATCAGAGTCACTTATTGTTGGGAAAGGAAGGTTAAAGTTCTCACCATAGAGTTGGAGGCAGGTTATATCGATAAAGGCTCCTTCAGGATAAGTGTTAAACAGACAGCGATAGCAGCCTTCATCCTCCTCTGTCAAATTCTTGATGACTATGGAGCAGTTCTGTAGTCCAGTGTGTTTAAACTCAAATTTATCTTTAAAGCCATCATTCACTCTCGGACCAAACTGCTTGCTGTAGGTGGCGACATTTGTCTCCACGTCATGTAAGCTTTTCTGCCATGTGACCTGAACAACGTCTTTAGGCTCCAAGAGCTGACAGCTGACTTCAGCATCTTCTCTCATTGCTGCCAGCACAGTCTGCTGTGTTTGGATCACTGCTGTTAGAGCTGTAGGAGATCCAGTTTGAGATGTGAGGCACATTCAGTTTTCAATTAGTCAATTTTTTCAGTTTTCTGTTTAAATTCAAAGTCAGTATTTGCAGTAGTCATTAGTCTATGTACCGTCATTAAAGTTTTATTATAAATATGGTTGGTAAATATAGGTTAAGTGCTTCCAACATATATTAAATGTGAATATTTTCAATAGGAATAACTTTATCATAGGCTGTTATTTACACAGATATGTCATTACTATGCTTAAACACATTAACTTCAGTTCAGTTCTGCTCAGCCATCAGACTGTATTGAATTATGTCAAAAGTCAAGAGATAAAACATAATTTAATGGCCAATCTGCAGCAAACACATGTAACTGTGCATACTGTGAGTGGACGGAAACGCTTCAGGACATGCCTTAGAATCTCCTGGATTATGAGATTGCCCTTGCATTAAAGTATTCTAATGGTAGTACT